CCGGCATATTCTGCCCTTAATTGCTGATAAACTTTCTCTCCTTGTCAATTGCAGGGTCAAATTGACTGGCACGTCTCGGGAGGATTGCGCAGGATCGACCACCCTTGCGCTGAAGCTAGGCGGATCTGCTCCATCGAGCGGACCCTTCTAGCTTGTTGCGTGTGTCCTTAGCATGAGACGAAATTATGTGTCGACAAACACATACATAAGGATTCACTACTAGTAATGCTTTTCGCAAAAAGAAAACCCATCAAACCATAAAGTTTATCATATCCTTTGGAGTCAGGAAATTATTCTCACTAGTCAGGTAAGTCTTGCGAGTACATTGTGTACTCAGGGTTTATTTACCCCTGTTGCAGGTGCATCTTGAGGAGTGGCTGTTGTGTGGAGAATTCTTCTGATGGGCACAGATGGATCCTTGTATCTTATCGTTAGATGTTTATTTCAATCTCGCTGTTTAAATTCCACACTCTAAACTTGGTATTGTAATAATGTATTTTCGAGAACTCTTATTGTATGAAATAGACTAAGTATTGTAAACCCGTTCTCATTATTGGATTCTAGATGAAAAACATGGATTGTTCAAGTTCTCCTTAGGGTGTGCTCACTAGGAACCACACAGGTGTAGCTTACTTTAAAAGGGGTGCTTAGTGTCTAGTGGAAGATGAGACGTCTCAAGGTGTGTTATTTTGGACGGTTACGCCATAGGTGGTATTAGAGCCAATAATGAGTTACGAGTTTCATAACTCTTTTCAAAACCTAAAAATTTGACCAACAAATGTTTTGCGAAAAAGTAGGATCACGATAAAATTATGTAAATAACTATAAGCCCTAGCAATATGGTCTATCTAGAATAGCGGCACTAGTTTTATCTAATCAATTTTCTACAGGTACACTAACTTACGCTGCGTAAGAATCGTTTAGCAAGCGGAAAGTGAGTGTGCGATGTGCCAAAAATTTTTGCGAATGCCGCTATATTCTGGCTTGAGCGAACGGGTAGGCCAATACATGCATCATGAAAAGAGAATTTTGCTTAAAATTCCTCCCACACGATAAATTTAAATTAGTGAATTGATAGGATAACCTAAAAGAATTCTTTAATAAAAGCCTTATCATTTCTCTAAGTCTCTTGTTCCTAATCTGAAGGGTTGTCCCTAATGGTTGGTTTTTATCTGTTTATAGATAAACCTAAGGTCTGGTCGGGGGAGTACCAGCGCTGGGGCAGACCAGGGGGATAACGGTCACGATGAGGACAATGGCAACACCAATGGGGACAGCCACGAGGCCCCACTGCTCCTCCTCCTCCGCCACCAAAGACCTTGATGACCTGTCATGGAGATGATGGCGGAGATCTTGGGTCTCGGCGTGAGTCGCCCCGTGCCTTTGAGATGCTTGTCCAGGCTATTGGTGGCTTTGCCGTGGAGGCCCCGTGGCAATGGCGAATGGGGTGGTGCCCGCCTCCAGGGGGCCCTGTTCCTACCAGACTTCCTGAAGACACACCTACGTTCACATCAATCTGCTGAGCCTTTAGATGCGAAGCATTATTTCAGATTTTGTAGCAGAAATTTCAGCGCTCATTGTGGATCGAAGAGCGGCGATAGGTGCGCTTTGTTGCACAATAGCTTCAGGTCTACCGGTCGTGGAGGATACTTTCAGCATGCCATGCAATGACGGACCACCATGTGACTTGGCAGGAGTTTACCACTGCTTTCCATGAGTACTATATTCCTACTGGTTTGCTGAACTGGAAGTTGACTGAGTTCCTAAATCTAAAGCAAGGGAGTATGGCTGTGATGGATTATGTGAACAAGTTCAACCATCTTGCACAGTATGTTGAGACCCATGTAGACACTGATGAGAAGAAGATGGACCATTTCTACCGTGGCCTCTCTTGCATCTTGCAAAAGGAGTTGTACACTGGGGGATATAAGACTTTTGGTGCTTTGATGAATGCAGCCATTGCTATGGAGGGACTTCAGCGTGATTCTCAGGCAGAGTGGAAGCGCAAGCGGGTGATCACTGGATCTTCTAGTCACCCACAAGCTCATAAGGTGTAGGTTGTCAGGAGGATGTCCTATCACTCTCCGGTTGGACAGCCATCCTGTCTGGCTCAATGAGCTTACCGGCATTTCCCACACCTAGTATCGTGCACCTACTCAAGAGGTGGGTGCAACAGCTCTCGAGGATAGCGAGGTTACGCCTATATCGGGGATAGGGGAACAAATCTGGTGCTTGTTTCAAGTGTGGCAAGGTGGGACACTATGCTCGGGAGTATCCACAGAACCAACCTGGGCAGTCTTCCCAGCTTTAAGCCAACTCCCGTCTAGTCAAGAGGACGATTATCAAGAAGAAGATGCCCGTAAGTCACTCTAGACAAGTCAACTTCACCGAGGTTGAGGAGATTTTGCGAAGAATGAACCTGTGATGGCTGGTATGTTTACCATTGATTCCTCACCCAAAGATATGTGTTGTTTTGATTACGGTGCATCACATTTATTCATGAGCATGGGTTTGCACAGAGGCACAATATATCTCTTA